AGTGAAATCTAATTAGTCAGACAATTAGTGAAAAACTGATAATTCATGTTGCCAATTTTCGACAATCTAGATTAATTTTTAAAAAAAATCTTTTATTTACCTCTGTATAAGTGTGCCACTGACGAACTTCCATCAAGACAAACAAGCTATCGTAGCTCAAGTGGTCTAGTGGATAATGCTTTGGCGTTTGGACCAATGGGCACTGGGTTCGAGTCTCTGCGGGAACACCATTACTCACTGGAGAGTGCAGATGCATCCAGATGACGAGTCCAAGTAGGGCGAAATGCACATCATAGATTCTCATGGTAGTCACCGTCTGCCAAATTACTAACCAAATATCGTTTACAAACAATACAAGAAGAAGTAATCTTCTATGATGTGGTCAAGTAACAAGCATAAGCCACCTTCACATTTGTGTTAGGCACTGCAGTTGATTCTCATCATTAACATCTAATACACAGCTTACATTAGATGTTTTACGATTGTTCTAACGACCCAGGTTTATTGAAGTGAATACAAGATCATTTGAAACTACACTTTAAGCTAAGCCAAAGGGTGTTTAATGTTCACACTCCATATCCGGCGTCATCGAACGCTTCATTAATTAGTCTGATGGCATCAGAGACATGAGTGTGTAAGGTATTTATGCAATATGCATACACAAATCAATTACAAAGGGACTAAATGTATTTGTGCATTCTATTTTCTCGTGAATTCAATCCTTTTGCATTTTATTTTCGTCTTACAACCTACAACTGATAGCATTAATATTTCTATTTGAAGTGATTTCACTGTATCCTACCCTGATGTTTAAAATTCGGGATATAGCACCCTACATTGTCGTATAGTAATGTCAAGTTCCATGTTGATAACATCCATCTGCTTACAGTATTGCATCGAGATTTATATAAAAAAATATTTCGCTAGACTGCCAATCATTGGCATTATTGACAGGCATTACAGTGTAATTAATCCTTCAATGAAACTGGGGGGGGGGGGAATTTAGTCAGTTGAAAACGGCCGTTTCGCCCCAATTTGGAACTCCTAAACAGTACACACCTACTGGGGTTCGAACCCAGGATCTTCCAGTTATGAGACGAGCTCGTAGACCATCAAGCCAGTAGGACCCGACTCAATGATCCATGAATTCCAGCTACTGCCAACTCGTGATACATATTTAGTGCAAGCGTCAGCCAATGTCACGGGCGAATAACTGTCCTCCTTCCTGGCTTGATGGACCCCACTGGTTTCGACTTTTCGTTAAAGATCCAGGTACTTCCTGTATAGAGCCAGTCGCTAGTGAGCATTAGATTAATTATCAAGTGTTGGTTCTAGTTGTTGAACACGTACACACACACACTCTCTGTGAAATGTACACATTTATTAATCCGAATACATTTATGAAATTATGTTACTGGTATTACAAATAATGCTCGCCAAAAATCAATTCTTCTAATACTTTTCATAAATATACACAGACACACACACTAGGCACGCATCTACATGCACCTAACCCTACATTTACTTGTTACTGAACGAAAAAGTGAGTAGAGCAATTTCACGAGTCATAAATCGCAATGAAATCAATAATAAATACTTTTAGTCAATATGCGAAGGGAGGAGTATGTGTATTGTAGGAAGGGGGTGGGTGGGAAACACGCACACACACACACACACAGAAGCAGGGGAAATAAATGGCTAAGAAAAGAATAATTACAGCAAAACATTTCTATCAATATTATTATTATTATCGGCTGTAATGCATGAGCAAGCAAAGTGACCAGGAGGAAATTTAATATTTTTCAGGAGAAATGAATGAGAAAGAAACATACACACAACAATTTTTTGAACAGTTTAAATCTCTGCTATTATCAACAACAAGTGCAAGCAATCAAAAGAGTTTTGCAAAAATATCGAACAGCGAAACGAATAAATCTACCTTACTGGTGAAATGACACGGTTAATCATACTTACGTTAGGAGGTAGGATAGAAATGAAGGAAATAACACTAGATATGATGCCTAGTGAAAAACAAACTTAGTATAAGTGTGCGTACGTGTGTGTGTGTCCGCGAAATCGGATAAAAAGTTGATGATTGGAAGCAAAAGCTAACCTAGATTACTGAAATAATAATAATAATAATAATAATAATAATAATAAGAAGAAGAATGGGAATAAAACTGGAAGTAATTAAGTTTAAATCCTTCTTTTTCTCTCTCATTTTCCTCCTGCTGCTGCTTCTTCTTCTTCTTCCATTTTACAAGCGAATTAAATTTCAAGATTGATCACGAACTAACTTCAATTAGAGAACCACTGAATATCAGAGAGTACTGGATAGCTGCTTCCTCTTTACTTAGGACTTTTCAGCAGTATGCACTCATGATTCGAGAAGGGATCGGATTGAGAACCTTCTTCAGGTTACAAGACGAGCTAGCAGAGTATTCGGCCACTGGGACGGAATTTAATGACCTGTCGATTCTAACTTCTACCTATTCGCCACATATAGCACGACCGCCATTAAATGACATCGGCGAGTATTTGTCTTCACATCCAACTTGGTGCACCCAGTTTGTCACAACTTATTATTATTTTTATTGTTTCCTTTAATTCCTAGAGGAACATAGGGCTTCAGCCATGCGTCTCCATTGCGTTCGGTTCTCTGCTAGAGTCTTCACCTGCCTCCAAGTCTGCCCACACGTTTTCATCTCCTCTTCACATGACCTCCTCCAAGTCACCCACCCTCGCACTGACGACCAACTCGCCGCTTCCCTTTCGGGTTCCACTCGAGCAATGGCTTGTCTAGTGATGTCACTTAATGGTTTCCTCAGAGTATGGCCAGCCAATCCATCTCCATTTCTTCCTGCCTATTTGTTTCACAATCGTTTCCTGGTTGGTTCGCTCCCAGAGATCCCTCACTATTGTTGATCGTTTCTGGCCATCTGATCTTGAGTAGTATTGAGCGAAGACAACTGTTAATGAAGGTCTGTAGTTTGTTTGAGATGCTCTTTATGACGCGCAGTGCAAGTCTCTGATCCGTATAGTAACTGGCACTGACTTCACATTGGAGTTGAAAATCCGGATCTTATTTTTGATGCTGAGTGCTGTTGACCTCCACACAGACTTGAGAGTAGTGAAAGCTTGTCTTGCTTTTCCGATTCTTGCTTTGATATCCTCGTCAGTTCCGCCTATAGTTGAAACGATGCTTCCAAGGTAGGTAAAAGAGGTTGTTTCTTTCAGGTTCCTTCCATTTATGCTGATTGTTGTCTGTTGTTGTTGCTGTTGGTGGTGTTGCCCAGGAATTTTCATCACCTCTGTTTTCTCTATGTTCACCTGAAGCCCTATCTTTGATGCTTCTTCTGCCAACTTGTTGCTTTTTACTTGCTTATCTTCCAGTTTGTGGGAAATCAGACATATGTCATCAGCGAAGTCCAGATCCTCCAAGTTTTTTGTATGAGTCCATTTTATGCCTGTTTCCTCATTGCCCGCTGTTTGTCGCATTATCCAGTTTACTGCAATCAGGAAAATCATTGGCGATAGTAGGCAGCCTTGTCTTACTCCTGTCCTCACTTCGAAGGATTCCGTAAGTTTCCCGTTGTGGATTACTTGGCATGCAGCATTGTCGTACAGCTGTTGGATGTCACAACTTAGGCAACTTCATCCAGCAGTCAGTCACTAGTGAGAACAGTTTATTAAGAACAATTCATTAGGCAAAAAAATTGATTGACGTAGGTTATTTCAAGGGGAAGAAACTTGAAGGAAAGATATTTTACAAAGCAATTTTTACTATTTTTAGGGTAATCTAGAGAAATCATAGGACACCTGATTGATTCCAGTTTGAAAGGAAACAAAATTACACCTAACGAAAAACGCTCATACTACATTACAAACTGACGAAAGTTGTAAAATTAAGAGCAGTGAAGAAGTTCAACTTATAGATTTTAATATGACATCGGCGTGAAAATTTCATAAGTTACCCATTCTATAAGTGCACTTGCACAGTCATAGAACAATATAGTGGTTCATATAACTCTGCACAGTCCATTTAGAGTTATTTAAATGCAGAATACCTTCAACCTTGATACCTTTGCAAACAAAAAACCCATTGTCGTGTCATTTTATTTGTCGCTTAAATGTCTGGTATTATAGTTCTGCTTGCTGAAAATTCAAAGCACAGAAAATATGAACAGAAGATCACACATGTGAACTGGAATCCAGACAAAATCACCCTAATGGATGTGGATAACCTAGTAGCATGCTAGATAACTACTTCAGCAGCGAAGTTTTAAACAGTAACCGTTAGTATATACTAACAGTCAAGGGACAATGGCACACACACACATACACACTGACAGATCAACACAATGTGTTTTAAATCTCATCACTATCTTACGAAATAAAGGTAAATATTTGATGCAATGTAAACTTCAAATGGATAGGAGAATTCGCAACTTAGGGAGATGTCTTTTTTGACAGACTGGTAAGCTTTCTCCTAAACAATTGTTACGGCTTATTTTATTTAAAATAAGATTGTCTTGTATGACAAGTGCTTGAAGATACTACAAAAATGTTTTCAACAAAATTTCCTACTTAATTTTTTACAGAGTAGTATATACACACTATGCATCCTGAAAGAAAGCATTACTAAATAAAAACCTGCTGAGGTTTCCCCTGGAATTCATTTTTAGAAGTTGTAAAGTGCAATACTCCAGTAAAAGCCTTCATGTACGAACGACTGAGGATGTCATGTTATTCGTTAATTTGTGAACAAAAATTTAAACTTTATCAAAATGCCATTTATTTTATCTCAATGAGATAAACTGTCTTGTTTTAGTCCTACTTTATATATTTATAACAAGCTTAATATTGTATACTGTACAGCACACTTTGAAAAATACTACGAACCGATATGGGTCTGAAAGTCGATAAGAATTAAATTCTAACAAATATATTTTCTGTGACAATGTATAGATTAAACTAGGTATCAATTGACAGTCACTTACCAGCATAGCGACTAATTCTTCTCTTCGCTTTCCTATTAATCCCCGTTCAACAATGCCATTCAAATTCTCTCTTTGTGATTGTGAACGTGATGCATTAGTGAAAAGAGATCCAGTTGCTTGATCATGTTTATGCTTACTATCGGATCCACTTGTTTTATTACGTAAATTGACACGATCAGATGAAGAACGATTCGGTTGACGACTTCTATAACCATCGACAGCACTAGACGACTTAATCAAAGGACGACCTAGAATGGTTTTAATCAAAAAACAAACAAGGTAATTAATTAAACTGTTAGAACGTTAGGCAAAATAAATCTCAAGCAGGTTCATTTCTGTGCTTTTATTGATGATTCACAAATATTGCGCAAGAACTGATGACACTATCTAGTTGTCTGAGTCCCGATAAGTGAATCAGCCTTTGAAACTGATATGTTTTGACCATGGGCGAGTATAAGTATACAGAATTGAATTCACTTCAGATCATATGGTTAAAATGAATTAGCAACGAAAAACTATGTGAACAAATCAATCAACAATCTATTGCTCAATAAACATGTCGAAGAAAGTGGGTATAATCAAAGAGGCCGTTGAGTGGAACCTGAATAGGAAAAGATGACTTGGGTGCCTGAAGGTGACATGGAGGAGATGGGAACTTATGGTCAATTGTGAAGCCAGAGAATAGGACGAAATGGAAGTGTGTTGTTGAAGCTTTATGTTCCACTCATGGGCCAAGGGAATAATAATAATAACAATAAGATAGTAAGTAGAGATATACGTAAATTCGCCGGACGAGGCAGTGAAAGCATAAGAAAGTAGCGTCTACACTCCGACAACAAAAATGATGCAGACAAAAAAACATGATTTCGGAGAGCAAGCAAAAAAAGTATTTGCATAAGGAATATTCAGTGTCAATCATTTGACTATCTCCATTGGTGGTTCTTTCACTAACAAACCCTGAAAGACTGTTCAGTACTAACTTACTAAGAAATCTAAAATACAATGTCTGTTGATTAAACTTGTACACTACTTAATAATGACCAGTAAAAGTGTGTATATGGTATCTGAAAGAAATGCAGGAAGAATGATTACAATTCAGAAATATAAAATTTACGTAAAATAAAACTATTCACTAAAAATATTTTGTTTCAACAAAGATTGCAAGTTTAACTGTTATGATGTGATCTAGTGGATTTTGAAGCACTTATGGTTTGGATGTTTACAGTCTAAAATAGATATAAATGAATGTTAAATGTGATATTTTATAAGTCAACTTGACTTAAATTGATTGAATAAGGTTGTGAATGACAAATATGCTGCTGGTTGACTAGGTTATCAGTACACGCACGCACACACAAAGTGCACGTAAACAAAACCCATCGACACAAATGCTTATCAAGGCTACACAACGAGTAGGGGCACACACAGTTTTTATATCAGTACACAGAATGCAAAATACCATAATGGGCACAGACACATGTTGGATACTTAGTTCAAATAAATTAGTCGACCTAAGAATACCCGTAAATTGATGATAATGGTCGAGAATAATGGGTTTAAAGTACGGAAACTCCTGTGATGATATGAGTACAAGGTCAACAGTCTGATTATATGCATATATGCTAAATTTCGCTAAATAATGACAAGTGATTTAAGTTTAAAGTGTCAAATTAACTAGAGCGATTGCAGTTCACTTGATCGATCTAGTGTAACATAGTCCCAAAGCTAAAATAAGGACATTGAAGATGGGTTGCATTAATATAAGTTCGCACTAACCTCCTGTGGCATACTTTACTGTGCACCTTTATCAACGGTAAATTTATATTATTAAGAGTTGAAAAAAAATTAAAATCCTGAAAATATTCCACCTTTCTAAATTTTTTTATAAAAATTCTTTTCTTATAGATTTCGCACTTTAAATGAATAATTTTAAATGTCGCAATTTAGATGGACAGTTTATCTGACAAATCTCAAGACAATCCTTTCAATCTAGTACAAATGATGGTGGGTAGAATAAAATAATAAAAGCTCACATTAAACCATTTATTATTCAGTAACAGAAACTCAGATGAAATTAGATAAGGAAAGAGGGTATGCTGGAAGCAAAAGTGGTGGTATGAAAATACAGTCTCAGTTTGCAAATCACAAGCATTTCAACAGCTTTAAGCTTGAAAAAGTTGAAAGGAGTTTACCAAATAACCTCCATAAATATATGGTAAATCATCTTGCCGTTATTTTTACGAATACAAGATCTTTTATCGGGTCCAAAGTTCTGTCTGTCTGTTTTCGACATAGAACTTTGCACATATGTGCGGCAGTTCAAGTTCTGTAACGGTGTATCCCGATTAAACAGACTGAACACTCAAGTGTGACTTCAAAAAACATAATCAATCAGAGTGTTGTACTCGTATCACCAAAGGAGTTCCAGTATTGTTCTTGACCGTTGTTATTAGCTTACTCATTCCAAGCGGCGTTCTAATCAATTACTTACCACATATAACAGAAGTTAACTAAAAGATCATAAGCCGCTTTGCACACTCAACGTTCAATTCAGACTCAATAATACGATACATAGACAGAAAGATGAGACCAGTGTTGGATCCAATTATGGCAGATTGATTCACATTGAGGATGGATAACAGTTAGCTAAGTTATTAGTTGCCTTGATATCTACAAAAGTTATGCAGACGACAAGTTCATTATATGCAATAAGGATTTGATTTAGAAGCTATTCCACTGTTACATAATAACCATCATTCTTCCTCAAAATTTTCCACAGAAAAAGAATCAGAATCAAGCCTTCCTTCTTTGATGTATTTATCAATACAAGCAGTAACAGATCTTTTAAAAGATCCATCCATCGAAAACATGCACGGAATGCACAACTAACCAATTTCCATAGTTGAATTCCTATCATCAGAAAAAGAAAACATGACTACTACTCTTTTTATACAACAAGGAAAGACCTGTACTTCAGACTGCATTAAAACAGTAATGCATTTTCTACAAGCCTCGCTTGATTAAAACGGTTACCCAAAATCGTTTTAGCAATGAAAACATCATAAACTGATTACAATCTCAATTTCAAAGGAAACCATTTTTGGCATGGATTTGGAAATTAAAGGTGATCAGACTTTGGATATGCCTAAAAGTTCCCATCACAATCAGTCAGTAAGACATTTTTCCTACCATAACTTTAGTTAGTGATTACTAGCCGAAAACTATTCTCTGAGTGTATGAAAAAAATAAGCGCCTATCAGTTTAACTACGCGTTTGGAGCAAATTACATTGTCCTGTATCCAATGAATGCTTTGTATATGAATACAAGAGCGTATCTCAGCATGGTTTTGTGTGGATGAAAGGTTGGTGGTTATGACAAGATCAATTCTGGAATAATTGAACAAAGTTGGTTACTTAACTAATCCTACAATGATTTTACGACCATTCATCGAATTCACGCAAAGTTGACGCGTGTCTTTTGTTTTTCACTTTCCAAAGCAGAGGAGGCTTTTGGCTACTCGTGAAGTGAAGGAAAATCTTCGTGTAAAACATTATTATTATTCCCTTGCGTTCCGAGTGGAACATAAGGTTTCAACAACACATCATTACTTTGTTCTGTTTGCTGCTGTTCTCTTCAGCTGGATCCAAGATTGACCAAACTCTCTCATCTCTTCCTCACATGATCTCCTTCCTTTCAACCCCGCACTAACGACCCACTCGTCGCTTCCCATTTGGATTTCACTCGAGCAATGACCTGGCATGCGATGTCATTCGGCGGCTTCTTCAACGTATGCCCGATCCATCTCCACTTTTACCTACATATTTGTTGAGCGATCGCCTCTTGCATGTTGGTTTGTTCCTAGCCAGAGTTTCTTGTTGCTTATTCTTTCTGGCCATTTGATCTTTAGTATGGTGTGAAGGCAGCTGTTGATGAAAGTCTGCAACCTATTGGAAATCCTTCCATTATGGGTAAAATTCATTTTGATAAAGTCTCACAGTGTTATACAGTAATGTTTACTGATGACGTTTCGAGCACAATTTATTGCTCATAATCATATCATATCGCTTTGATATGATTATGAGCAATAAATTGCGCTCAAGTGCGGAAGATTTCCAAACTGGTTTCAGCTTGATGAAGGCGTACCTTGCCTTTCAGATTCTGACTGGCTTTGACGTCTTCGTCCGTTCCACCTGTAGTTGAAATGGTGCTTCCCAGGTAAGTGAAGGAGGCAACCTCTGTTAAATCTCCATTATGGATAAGATTTTATTTTGATAAATCACACAGTGTTATACAGTAATATTAACTGATGACGTTTCGAGCACAAATTATTGCTTATAATCATATTAAGTTACTCACTTAACTTTTTTCCGCCTGGTCCTGCTGCCTTCCCAGATGACCTTCAGTGGCTTGATCGCATTCAGGATTCCTTCTTTCGTTGGAGGAGTAGTGTCCACTGGCATTTCCATGCGTGCTGTTGGTGGTATTTCTGGACGAAATGCTGGTGGTGGTCGATTCAGGAGTCTTTAAAAGTAGTCAGCCCATTGTTTAATTTGTTTCTCCTCCTTGGTGATCAAGTTCCCTCGAGCATCTTTTATTGGTTTCATCATCTGGGTTGATCTCCTCCCGGATAGAGACTTGGCTATCTGATAGAGTGTCCTGATGTCTCTTTTGCCCGCCCACTGCCTGTTCTGTTTCAGTTACCTGCCAGTGTGTCGTAGAATTGTCTTTTGTCTCTCCGAGTACTCTTCTTCACTTCTTTATTCAGTTCAGTGTACATTGAACTCAGCTTCTCCTTCTGTTGCCCATCTTTGCATTGAGTCTTCTCTTTCACCATCCTCCTCTCCTCGATGAGCTTCCAGGTATCCGTTGACAGCCATTCCTTGTCATGTCTCTTCCTAGAACAGTTGTACACGTATTTTCAAATATCGCTTTCAGAGAGTTCAAATGTTCTTCCACACAGGTTTCCTCAGTGATGCCACGTAGTGTGCCCGACTTTGCTCTGATATATGTAGCGAAGGCATCCCTTGCAGTTTTGTCCTTCAGTTCAGTTTTCGAATGCTGAACTTGAATTGCGGCCTGTCTCCATCTGTTTTCATGAATTTCAGCTTCACCTTGAAGGTTCCTTGAACTAGATGATGGTCTGAGTCTTCATCTGCTCCCCTTCTCGACTTTGTATCCAGCAGGCTGCGTCTCCACTTCCTTGAGATTGAGATGAAATCTATTTGGTTTGTAGTATGTATATCATGGTCTTAGAATAAAGAAGGGGCATAAAATATTTATTTTATTTATTTCACTTAGCATACCTTCCTGAGATTTATACATTCCATGGTCGAGTTTATATATTACACAGACTGTTGTGTTATCGCTGTATGTTTATACTAGTCACACCTATTACTTAAATTCCCTCAAAGGATATAATTTTAAAAAAAACCATTCACGTATACGGATGTTTAGTGTAATAATGAATTCGTTGAGTCATTTAGTTCAATATTGCTTTCTGAATGTTATTCAACTGAAAGGAACTACACTATGTAAAATAACTCAGAGAAGTAAAATAAAACACGTAAAAAAATGTGTATATATGATGACATTACCTGAGGTAGTGGAATTTGATGCAGGCAATTTTAATTGATTAAATACACGATAAACACTATACAAATATATAAGCCAGTCGGAATTGGTTTTGGGACAAATAATCGATTTCTTCTGGTCATATCCAACAGGATGACAGTGTTGAATCGGAGCAATACGATGTGAATCAATTTTAGCACCAAAATATATTGAAAAATGGTCAGCCATCAAATTACAGGCAAGTGTTAAGCGTGAACTATTTGTCTGATCATCGGAGTGTCTAGTTCTACTTCCATCTCTATCATCAATTTCCAATGTGTCCATCAGGTTTGGTAACAATTCAGGATGATAACGGTGTATAAGGCAAAGAAGATTACGTCCACATTTCCAATTAGATGCATTCAAATCACTGATTGGATCAATTAGACCAGAGCGTAGATATGAACTTAATCGAATTTGAAACCAACGGATTAAACAACTATCAACAGGATTAGTATAAAAATTTCTCTGTTCATAATGTTCTGGTCTCATCCAATACTTAAACATTGCAGTTGGATGACGTTCATTCAATACGGAATAATCAATACCATTTTTAAGTAGTCGAATATCATCACTGATATCTCGATCAGTTATATATAAATGATGTACTTGCTTTGGACTTATAAGATTTAAATCACAACGCTGATATCTAAAATATTCAACAATAAACAAGAAGAGTTGAAGAAGAATTGAAATTATTTGGTTAACAAGAAATACAGAACAGTAAATTGTCCTTACTAGGTAGCTGAAAGTGCTTGCAAGCTTATTACGGTTAAAATCCTGAGAATTTTCCAGAGTTGACTATAAACAATGTAAATTATACTGATATACGATGATATCACTTGTCTTCTTTAAAGTATAAGAACAGCAAATAATAGAGAGTAAAGTTATGTACCCTGCGATATATTGCTAGCAAATTAATCGTAACATTACTAGATTACCAGTCTCTAGTCTAATAACTCTATGAAGTGCTGCGTTAGTGGTAAAATAGTAGGTTGCCCACCGACTACGCGAGAGGATCGGTTTCGATTGTCGGTTGACGCACTCTGAAACCCCGCCTAGCCAGAAGTAAGTTCGGAATACCGGGAAGGCTGGGCGTAAGGCCAGCAACTGCGTCCTTTAAAACAACACCACTACACTGAAACTCCATGTACCACTCGAACTGCAGTGAATGAAACAAACTTCATGGGGTAACAGTGAAAATGGAGTCAGAAAATATAAAATCTCCTATCAGAAGTTGTTTATAATAGTTTAGGATCGTATGAATAGATATGAAATGAAATTGTCGATTACTTTCGAAGCACGAAATCTGACAACTCTAAAAGCATATAACCATTAGAAATGAGTATCACCTACAACAGGCTCTCATGACAAACAATGACGAAGTGATTGTATGCTTAATATGAATGAGAATCATTATTACACTACAGGCTTCTATTTGACTAATTAGACTGTTCTCTACATTCCTCTGTAGCTGGCCCCACAACTGCTCATAGGCTGTCATATCCTCTCCACATGGTATCTTTCACGCTACCCTGGGACGTCCAACTCGTCATTTCTCACTAGGGTTCCATTAGAGAATATGGCGCGTGATGTTACTCAACAGTCGCCTCAGCGTAAGTGCAATCCATCTACATTTTCTTCTGTATGCTTGCTGGACAACAAGTTCTTGGCTGGTTCGTTGAGAGAGTTCTTTGCTGTCTATCCTTTCTGAATAAAGGTAGTAATTAATTACTACTTCTGCTGCTTGAACAAAAAAACCCTTTCAGCAAAGAAGGACTTGATGTAAAAGAATTAGAAGTAGCACTAATAGTAGTAGCGGATGTTGCTTTAATAGTTTTAGAAATTCCTCACACTACAATATATATATATATATATATATATATATATATTAGAAGAATTAAGTTTCTTTTACTAAATTTGGCGTACATAGTAGTTTATTTCTCGTAAAAATAATTTATAGTACACACATGCAGGCACACACACACACCGCACACTGCAACAACCACTGGAAGTAAAGCATAAACGGGTGGAGGAAATTCATTAAAGTCAAGTAAAACGACAGACAGACAAGACGCTACTTGTTATGAATTCAACAAAATAAAAAATAATTTTCATTATAACTTATAAATTAAAAAAAAGCAACTTTATGAATGTTACAGACATGGAATACACACAAAATATGCACAAAACACAAATTCACATATAAACAGTTTGGTTTAGAACAATAAAAATAATAGATTAATAACAATAACAAACAAATCTGCTGATTGATACTGTTTTTAGTGATGGTAATACTAATAGCAACAATAATAGTGATAATAAATAACAAATTTATTGAATTCTTTTTTATGTTATTATTATTATTATTATCATTTTAAACAAATAGAGTTGTTAGACAATTCTCTTAGAATTATTACCACTTCAAACATGGAAGACAAGGAGTGTACTTTTACAGCAGCACAAAACATAGAACAGAAATTGCAGTCACAATAACAACAACAACAAGGAAAAAGTGTTTTCAATATTTTATCATAGTTTTATGCAGTCAGAAATGAAACAGACTAAGTGTTTGACAAGTAACAACTGACAAATGAATAGATGTCACAAATATCTTGAAATGGACATAATTCTATGCTGGATAGAAGAGAAACAGAACATTTTTTGGAGATATGAAGGAAGAGATTGAGTTCATTCCACGCAGGCGTAAATAATTTTACACAGTGATGATTTCTAGTATTGTTGTATTCTCTGAGCTGTGTAGCTTAAATGTAGTAATTAGCACTGGAGATGTTCTCCAGTGGGACACTGAAGGTTTTCCAATTAAACTGTCTAGCTTAGATAGATAATACAGCAATGTCGAATACATTCACCTGAGCTACAAATCCTCTTTTTTTATTTCACAATGGTTTTAATCCATTATACTAATGATTAGAATTCAATCAGATATTTTAAGTGCATAGTATATGTGGTAAGCCTAAGTGAAACAGGGTTTTATTCTTGGTTAGAATGAAAAAATGGAAATAATTACAAGGTGTGTATGCATCATCAAACGACTTATTAAAGCAACTTCTAGTTTACCAACCAATAAGTTTATAGACAGCCGTAAGACCACTGATAAAATCACGCTTTCACTTTAATCACTATAATCATTTTTCCTTCTTGACATTTTATCACAGTGAGTGAGGCGCAGATTTTGCCTACACATCAAGGATTTGTGTTGTATGAATATGACAGAGCTTACTGAAGCCACCAGTGTGATAATGAATAAATTGAATGATCCGACAACTTTACAAATATTATCGACGACTGAGATGTTCGGAGTTGTATCTTTTAGAATAATAACCAAGATGTTTCTGTTGTTCACTATTCCAGTAGCATAGATTTAGAATGTCCAACAGACTAATTAAATACTAAGAATAAGTACACATCTACAAAGTGCCAGTGGTTGTGTTTCAATTGTTCTGACCAACTAAAAATAAGAATATGTCAGTCCAGTTCAACACATATCTACAAATCCTAGTGCTGAAGTAACACCTACATATATGTATGAATGTCTTACTGAGTTCAACCGGTCTAGTAACTTTGTGTTCTGTAGAGAAATAAGGAATAAATCCCATGAACTTCAGTCGTGTCACTTTAAGTAATTTAACCATTGTTCTAACGCATGTTGACTCAAAGGCGATATCTGAGCTATTCACTTCACGACTAGGCCTGCTATTGGATAGCATACACAGCCACCAAACAATAGTTAATGAATTCATTAGTTGTAAAATGATCTACAGAAAAGGAAGTGTGATTTATACCCAGTGGCTGGAAACGACAATCAAGATGTTTCCATAGGTTCCACAGGGGTTCGAATTTGATGTATCGTAAAAACAATTGATCAGATTTTGAAAGAAACAACCAGTGGGAAAGAGTTTCCAAAACTCTAATGAAGGTGAAAAACGCGGACATCCTTAAAGTGACTAAGAGCCAAACAAGTGATATAGAGCTCTGTGCAAAAGTTAACCAGTTTAAAACTCTACACAAAACGAGGAAACAGGAACAAAACTGAAACTACAATAAACAAACATGGGTGTGATGCATAAAATAATAAAACCAAGATTATCGGAGATTATGAATCACTTGGCAGATAGTCCCCAGTGATATAGCGTTGACGGAAACTAAACGTAACGATGGTAACACAAAAGTTAGCGGAAATAAAACATTGACTGGCTAACAGTAGAGTGTTTGAGATTAGTGAAAATGGAGAAAAAACTGCATATGACGACAATTAGTTATAGACAAATTACTTTATGATGATGAACCTTTTCGAACAATCAGTACGCAAATCATATTGCGAAAACAATCGTTTAAATATAACAACAGTCTACCTCATTAAGTATCACAGTTTCAAGCCTTTGGAAGAATATGAATGAAAAGAAGATGGAGGACGACTCCTACCGCCAAGTGGCGGGTCTTAGGATTTTTGGGATTAACTTATAATGCCGAACAGAAATAATGTGAACACAACTAGCAAGTGGTTGTAGAGATCAAAAATATGATTAAATGTAGTAAAAATAGCAACTGTCTAAGTCTAATTTCTTCTGAAGGAACAAGTTCACAAATGTGTATGAAACTTGAGTAAAACTATAAAATCTGGAAAAAATAACCTTGATTTGACTTTTTCAATTGTTTGATTAATATGTAATAGAATGTCTAGTCGTCTTGCTTAGGCGTATATTTTCTAGTATGGAAGTAGGCACTACAGTTACCATGGTAAATGTAACTAATCCTACGGGAAAACAGCGCACCATTTGAACAAAAGTAATACCTACGCGTCTGTCAGTCTTTTTCTTTCATCTCATTAAAAACTAGATGCACAGCAAGTATGTTTTATAATTTATTTCAAAATTAAGTGGATCTACTGATTGACGTACAAATCCGTACAAAAGTGAATCAGTTCTAAATGCTACACATCGAAGAAACAAACACAGTTAATTGATGGAAACAGATCGAAACTGCAAAAGACAAAAATGAGTGTGATACAGAGAACAGTTCAATGAGGGCACCCAAATTCTGGAACATAGATGAAGAGTGAATACAACTACGCCACCAATATAAGGAATTTTGAGTCATGTCACCACTGTATCTAATTATTGATCCCTAGGATTTGAGGACCTGACACACCTTGCCCAAATCTACCTAAACAGCTATGACCAACAATCAGTAACTTCATCCACTTATCCCACATTTTGGTAAGACAACACATAACTCTTTAAAAGCTAATCTTCCTTGAACTAATAGTGCTAGTTGAGGAAGGCAGCAGTTCAGTATGAATAATACATGTTCCTACTTCTCCAACCATAACAGCTTCATACAATTGTCAGTCGACTTTTACATAGTGTAGAACTTTAATCTTTCAGCAAAGACAAGAAGCCAGTGGTCAAACATGACTAAAATTTCCAGAGCATTGTGCGGCCACGTCTTATATCGTGAAGACTGATGGCGAGAACTTCACAACGAACACTTCTGCTAATAATTAACTGGATATCACACTAAGGTCAAAGATGGCGTAAGTTGAAGAATGCCTAATGAGCCTTTGATACCATTAAAGTTGGTACAACTTCCTAAAAATGAGCGAAGTGATTAAGGCATTCAACCATTTCACTCTCAATCCTTAAATTAAGATTCAGTGCGGACAAACCCTGTAGCATTACTTTACATTATATTCACTTTAGAGTTTTACACGGTTGCATGAGTTCGAGTACAGTGCCTTTAATTAGTAAAGCGTACTTTGTTATGCACTTATTTAGTCGGATAGTGTAGAGACGATCGTCCACCTGAATCCAATGGAGAGATGAGTTTTCTGCCCTGAAGTTTAATGCTATCCACACTAAACAGTCCATAAGAACTTGCGAAAAAATTTTCTGACGCCCAAAAGTGAATTATGCAGATTTATGAAGATGGGAAAATAGGGTTAAGTAAATAAATGCACTTTCAATTCTAATGCACCTTTCAAAAACAGTATAAATCGGAAGTTTGAGGAGCGAAAGTTGTGGATAGTGATGTTTGTTGTCCAACACAGCGAGGGTGAGGACTTCCGAATTTTTAGTATGAAGTTGGCAGTGTGGTTTCAACACACTTCGAGACTGCCAGTCCTGTGGTTTTACCTGATTGACTGCTTATCTTTATCTTCTGTGGATTGGTGGAATTATGCATGCACATCTTACAGTGTTTCTTCTCTTTCATAATTTCATTTCCAAAGAAGATATTCACATTTCCCTTTTTTGAACTAAATCTCATGTAATAACTGCCTATATATAGAATAAGGTTGATAACAACAGTGGATAACTCCTGGGTGATTGGATATCACATAACACAAAACCTTTTATTAGTCAAAAAATGATACGCGTATTACTTACCTTGTCATTGGATCCAACGTGTAGTCTTGAAAGTTTGGTGGCATATTCTGTGCCGTTGTATGACTTAAATGTTGGTAAACTGATTCACGTTGTGCAATGACTTGTAATGGATGTAAACCAGATGCAAGAAGAGAGACTGACCAAGCAGCGTCAAGCGCAGACATAAAGCCTAATGCACAACCACTACCAGTAGGCCAAAATGGCTAAAATGTAAATGAACAAAGATAAAATAGAAAAAAACAAAATAAGCAATAAAATCATTACGCCCAATGTCAAATTTAAATAACTAAATAAAACGAAAAATAATTTTCAAATAAACAATGTTTGCAGTTGGCGGCATGACAAAAAAATATAAGCTAAAATAACAGGAAATGCAAAAAAAAATGTCTAGAGGAAAGAAATCACTGTGAAAGAGCTAGGTGGGTTAAAATCAGTGATCTCTGAGAAAAAAAAACTCCCGAAAGCAAAAATGAATAAACCAGATTTCAATTCTGGAAAATTAATAGAAACATATGCAACAAGTAGAAAATTACTTCTGCTGTTTATGAAGGACCAGTGTTTCAATGAAAGGCATTCTCTCAGCTTAGCCATAGAATGAATAAAGACTTGAAACAAAGATAAATCAGATGAATAGAAAACGGCGTACCATATGCAGAATAGCTTTGTATTCAAAGGTTTCTTCAAATCTAATACTGAATGTGACTAACATAAACTATCTTATCATTTTAACACAAACAACCTTAAGGAATATTACAACACTTCACCTATTTGTGAATGATTGAAACTTTTCCTTAGGAAGATAAGTAATCTTAGTAGGTTAAATTAATTTGGATTTAACTGGATTTTTATGCCCTAACGGACTAGTTTAAACATTCTTTGTAACTGAACACATTTTATTGGTCGGCTATTTTATAAATTAGGTTATATTGTATAATCAGGTCAGGTTATTTCTCTAAATCATACATAAATATGTTGGAAGTGAACTATATGCAAAATGAATGTTTCTATTTGTTTCACTTGTTCTGTTAAATACTACCAGAATTCATTATTTCCCAGTGTGCAATGACAACGGTGCTTTTAAATATTTTATGAAGTACAACATCATATTTATAAATAGAAATGATGCAGAAGATTTGTAGCTCAGGTAGATGGTTTCGGTGTGTTATGTTTTGTTAGCTGGTTGGCTTAATTATGAAACTTTCATTGTCCGTCTAGACACCTTCAAAGATAGCCTTATAATCAAAGCGAGCCTTAGGAATTCTCCATGACTGAAATGATCGTCTTTCCTTATTGTCCCAACTGCGATCAGTAGTAGTCTCCGGAGACTTTCTCATCAATGCATTCACTGTCAGGCTCACATAACACAACACTGAAATTCTATTGGTAGAGACAGCTGCTCCATGGAGCAAAACAAAAATAAGTAAATCCTATTAACAGGTGAATTTAGAAGACAGCAGATTAAGATATAAATAAGGACACAACAGTTATAAACAGAATGAGAGAATCAAATTGCACTGTGAAATACACATTATCTCCAACTACTAATCCAACAAAACTACTATGATTTTCTGCTTTAACTTTAATGGACTGATCGCTGAACCACTTCCTTACCTGGTTGCTAGGATATCCAGTGGATTTTCTCATGTTGAAAGATTAAGCATCCAACATTCCATAGTCAAAGTAAACTCTTGGCAGAGTAGAAAAGAAATCATAATGGTATGATTAAAAATCTTACTTGGAGAACTACCCAGACTACTTCATGAACTTTCACTTACAAGGATAAAGGCAGAAACAGGCTCTGCTTAGTTGTATGCTTATTATAGACAGTTAAGTAGCACAAATAGTACACGACATGATCAATTTATTTACGGCTTATACAACATTCATCCTACAGACATGCATATTAGCTTTTCATGGGTTCCGTAGGATTTGAAAAGCATAATAACAAATTGCATTTCGGGATTAATAATTATTACCATAACAAAAGTCAGCCACTTTGAGACTTTTTAGAGAGCTCTCAATACACACTACAAAATCACTTTGTTTACAAGTGACGTAACGACTTTCGTATTTCATACTACATTGAACTGTATAATAAACAGTTTGACAGTTTTCTCACCATACTACTTTTAAACAAAACCTAGATTGGAACGGTTTCATACAGGGTGAAAAAAAAAACACAATTCATATGAATTTAACAAATATCAATAAACTATCGTAGTTGTTAGTTGTTTAAAAAAATGGAAAAACTGTGTTACGGCTAAAGAGCTGACAAAATGGACACTATTATTATTGTTATTAATCATATGTTTATGTCAGTGGAACATTTATAAACAAATCAGTATAATAAATCGACCTTATGGTTTATTAATTCAGTTAATTGCAGAGCACAAGATTCATATCTGGTCCAACTGTGCATACATGCAATAACTAATAATACAACATAGAACGATAACTATATTGTTCACACAAACTGACTGACACTGGTCACTACAATCAAGTAAGTTGTGCAATTCAATTATGAATTAGGGTCTGTGGATCGCATATATTTATGCTATTCCTATCCCTCCTCCTTTGTCTCAAAAAAAAGAAAGAAAAAAAATCCACAAACTTACAAAGCCACATTCGAATAAATACAATAGGCATATGACTATAATTTCAACAGTTGTGAATTATTTGTCTAGACGATTAGGTAATAAATTCAGACAATTTACACTCCAGTTAACTAATCACTGTTGTATGCATCGAACTTTTAGTAGTGGCATTGCATGTTTAAGGAGTATATAGTTAAGAGGTAAATATGAGAAGACAGCGTATTCCACACAACCATACATATTTTTCTTTCCTAATAATGAACAAAATAACTTAGGCCAATTGAAATACTTTATAGGCAACAGAAACATCTTAGTGTAAGTCCGAACAAAAATGAACAGTTAATTAGTCAGAGATTTTACCACTTAAGAAATCAACACAGTTTATCGATTGATAAAACCGGAAATCTGCTGATAAAAATGCTTTCTAGTTAGGGGCTTAAATTCACAATAGCAGCTATAAGAATACGGAATGACTGACGGGAGTCGAAAGACAGGCGATTGGTTCCTAATTATCAAAAAGTAAATAACAAACGGTTCGTGGTGGTGAGTGGATGGAGAAATTCAGTATTAAAATGCAAGCGAGTAATACAACAACCAGTGCTCAAACAACAAGTGAGACCTTATACTAGTATAATTTGGTGTAAATACAAAACTTAACAGATTAATGGAACATAATTGAAAAAAGAATAATCAAGTAATTATTAGATCACGTAGAAGAATTATACTGAGTACAACCGGTCATTGCCGTATATCTTGATTTTTCTTGAAGTCTAAAACTTTGAAATATCTTTGCTATTTTATTTGTGGTATTTTGTTATTTAATTTCTCAATAGGTACCAATTACAACTTGTCCGCTGGACTAAACAAGAACCAGAATGATTGTAGTAGCAATGGTGTATTGTCAAAATAGGTGAAATTGAGACATACAAACAAACATACAGCATTACTGTTTCGACACTGATCAAGCAAACTCAGGCAAACATTACCGACAAGATGTATTTACTAAACATTGTCAGTTGAATGGAACGGGAGCAACTATCAGAATTAGACTAATGAATCACGCCATCACGTGTACCTGTATACTAGATTAGAAACCAAATTAAGAAGCCCATATGACTCATTGTATCACGAGTATAGTGGGCGTGTGAATATAAGACTATTTACAAATCAACACATTACTATAGTCCTTAAGAGAAAAAAAATAAAAACATAAGACTACAACAGGTGACCATGGCGCTTCTTTGAATGCTGAAGTGGTAATGTTTGTCCATGGTGCTTTATGTAGGTAAGACTGAAAGTATCTCTGAATACATCAAATGTAGAAATTGTTGATTTTCGTGTAATTAAATAAAAAATATTTTATACTCAGCTAAAACCATCTCACAGTAAATGAATGGTTCTAAAAGCCTTCCTTTGATACACATCACAACACAATGTCCTCTTAGCTTTCTTTAATTTCCGAATATTTGAAAATTCCTTTCAATCAAACTAAGGCGAAAATCACCAACAAGATGTATTATTAAACAGTGTCAGTTGAATGGAATGGGAGCCAATAAAAAGACTGGTCGATAGGGTGAGGTTGGACATGAGGCTAGCAACCCCATCCTGTAAAAACAAATACCACTGCTGCCGAAACTTCAAGCCTCTAGCTTGAAGCCTTATGTTCCATTAGGAATGTAGAGGAATAAAATATAAAATAATATAAGTAAAACAAGTCAGTCTTCAAACATTTCGCAAAACTATTTTTGCTAGTTTTAATATGATATGGTTTGAAAGCAGTTCAAGGGCATTAGAGGTTACTTTCACTTGAACAATGATAATGAGAACTTGTGTTTAACAGAAAGAAGAAATTTTTAAGTTTACATCTTTCCAGAAGAAAATAAATTTTGTTTTTAAATCAGTGTTAAATTAACTAAACTGATTAATTGAATTAGTTTATTTGGTGTTTTCCATTAATGATGATGATTATTTTTTAAACACTGACAAAGAGTAAAGCTTTTAAACCAAGGAAATACTGTCTCATAGCAATTTCTCTAACAAAATCATTATTGACTTTAGAAAGTAAAACAACACTGAAATGGATTTTTGTTACGATTTGATCCAGATCAAAATGTATTTGCTGTTAACGCATAAGATAAATTTCGCAGTTGATAACAGTATATACTGTTCATTCCGAATGCGACTAACTTTCAGAATACTCCGAATATCAGTAGTCAACATGGTTATCCACAGTTTGCAGTGACTATTTTGATGGCAATGATGAGGATTTATACTTTCACATGTTTCACCTTTTCACCAGACAATACAATTACCTTCATATGTCAATTGTGACTCTACGTCTAATCCGCTTAACAAATAACTACTTCTCATTTAGAAGATAAAGAATTCTATGTTAGAAACAAGCTGCCATATTGTGCCTAAATGAGTTTTGGTTGTTGCTCAAGCTAAACGGACACTGAGCTTGGTAAACATCTAGGCTTAACAGATAAAAAGAAAGATAGTTGTCACCAAGGCAACAAATGTAGTTTGTTATAACTACTACAAGGTTGATTTCTATTGTTGATACTTTGTTCACCAGTTTTCAATTCCAGAGGTTATGGTGTGGTATT